CGAGATTTTGCATATCGAACAAGTCACCAAATCACAGGACTGTGCTTTGTGGCGTCTTCATCGGAGAATGAGGTTGACAGCGTCTCGATTTGGTGAAGTTTGTAGAAGAAGGCCGACAACAAGCTGTGAAGTGCTAGCAAACTCTATCATGTACCCAACAGAGTTTTCCAGTAAGGCAATAAAAAAAGGCAATACAAAAATCATTGGACACGGCAGTTCAATCTTGTGGTTTGTTTATTGATCACACACATCCATTTCTGGCAGCATCACCTCCATCTACCTATTACAGTAGACAAGATATGTACTATACTTAATCCAGGTAAAGCCTACCTGTTTATTGCTTTGCAAAAACTACCTAACTGTTTCCTCTTATTTTGACGGCATAAGATATTTTTATTACCCTTGTTCAATTGTTACCATCTACCACACGACCCTTGTAAACATAACTGTGTTTATTGACATGAATAAACGAATTAGAATTTGAGTTCTTGAATTTATTTTAGGAAAGATATAAAATTATTTGAATACATTTTTTCTAGTCGGAACGCACCGTCGCGTCGCTTGAACTGGCACGACGAAACACTAGATGAATTTCGCCCATAAACTGATTTGCACTTCACTGCTTACTTTTTATTATTTCTAAATGAAACTCTTGCAGCGTGCTAAAATCAAATTCCACAGGGTGCCAGCGATCCACATTTTCGATTTTATCCACTAGGATCTTTCTAAAATATCAAGAAGTTGAGCACAAATAGTGAGCATTTCAACCCACCATAATTCTTGCGCAAAGGCAAAATTTTGTAAAAAGCTCTGATAGCACCCTAGGCTATTATGGCCTGCTTATATCCAGAAAAACATCACAAACTGCAGAACATACAAGGTAACGGCGAAATGGGTACATTTCACGGGTTATGAAATTCAAATGAAAATGCAGGTATAAAATCTACCAAATGATCGTTCTCAAAAACATAGTTCCTTGAAATATCGATAATTTTAAAGTTCCACGCTAAATTCCCCTATACTTGACTGGAGTGATGTCCGAGTTTATTCTTACCTACTGTCGGTATTTGCAGCTCTGTTGGCTGTTGGTGTCAAACCTATAGAGCAGGTACCGATTTTTTGAAATCGTGAGCACATTATTCGTCGGATTTTCGATACTTCTTAGTAATTGAATGTGTTTCACTGATTTCAACCCCCCCTTTTTAAGCAGTATAATTTTTTATGTCAATGATTAGGAACCCCTGAAACGTCAAAAACGGAGTTTCAGCAATTGTTACTTTTTCTTTTTTGCCTAAAGCACCGTTGCCACTGGACTAAAACTACAAAGCTTTGGCATCCTAGTAACCGCGTGTGGAAATTTCATAAAAATCCGAACGGTAATTTCCAAGTTGATCATAAGTGATACAGTTTTTCGTGATGTAGATGTCATATGACTTAAAAAAACATAACATCTCATTTTAGAAATTTTTCGCGATTACAATACTTCCTCGCCAATGACGTGGGAAGTAAAACGGCTTTAAAATCGAGGAGTATCAGCGATCGCGATTATGAGTACCTATTTGCAGAACGCCTTATCTACGCGATATTATATGAAATAGGGCCACCAAATTATCTGAATACGTCTTTTGGTTTGGCAGCACGAAACAGTAGACAAAATTCGTCCAAAATACGATTCTGTAGAGGTTTGCGCGCTTCGAAATGGACGCTTTATTTTTTGATATTTTTGGATAAAATTTTCACAGTGCTGAAAACAAAACCCCACAGGGTGCTATAGAGCCACTTTTTAATTTTTTTCACTAGGTTCTTTTTAAAAAAATCGCGAAGTTGAACAGAAAAAGTGTGCACTTCAACCCATCATAAAACTTGTGCAAAAACAAAATTTCAAAAAGTGCTCCTATAGCACCGACATACTGTATGAATTTTATTGAAAAATATTGAAAAATGGAGTGTCAGTTTTGAAGCAGCTGAACCCTTGTAAATGGCTTGAAACTCACTGCGTCGAAGCCGCCTTAATGCGTATATGGAGGGCCGCATACTAGGCGCTCATCGTCAGCTAGGAGCGCCGAGGATACGCCCAGAAGAAATAGACGATATAATAGAAGCAGCTGAGGGAGATCCCTCTATAAGCACCAGAGCCGCATGTATTTTCAATGCGATGGTGTACCATGCCACTTTGAACGGGATGTATGGCATTACTTAGAGAGTGCTTTTCCTGGGCGTTGGATAGGTATAGGTGGCCTCCAAGGTCATCCGATTTGAATCCTCTAGATTTTTTTATTTGAGGGTTTTATAAGGGGATTATCTATACATCTGAAAATAGATAAATGTCAACCAACTGCCCCAGAAAATTGATGCAGCAGAAATAAAAATTATGGAAGACGCAAATTCATTTCAAGACTAAATGACAATTCTATTAGAAGGTGTTGCTTGTGTATAGAAAATAATGGAGGCCATTTCGAACTTGTTCTTTGAAAGTAAGTAAAATTAAATTATCTTCCTCATTTGTCGGTAAATCGCCATAAAGAGCGGCTAAAAACAATAGGTTATGTACTTGTAGGTGGTAAGGGTTCTATTGAGTTTCTTAGGTTTATCGCATCACAACAACGAATGTGACATGATACACTCATCGTAGCAAGCTGAAGTTTTCAAGGTTTACTCTACATGGATGGAAAGTTTTTACAATAATGATGAATAATGAAATACGTCATTTTTTAAGTTGAGGGATGGAAGAGATTCTTCACGAAAAAATGAATTTCAGATTTTTTGCATTGATTTCTAATAAGCTCTGTTAAAAAGTGACATAACCATTGCTGAAACTAACCAATTAGCTGTCCTCAGAAAAAAAAGCACGGCCCGAAACCTAATGGTCTAGTGGTAATTGCGATCGAAAACTCATTATCCCGTTTTTTTTTCAAAATTTCACAAAATTGCAAATACGTCCTGAACTATAAAATTTCGGACCTCACATATGAATCCACTAGGATCACAACACCCTAAATCCACTTTAGCTAAATGTGCAGGAAAGCAAAAAACATTTTAGCTAACTTTTGAATTAACATATATGACGAGATATGCTTTTTAGGATTCCTAATAATCATATATTCAGTAATATAATGTAAAAATACAATATTCTTTAGGCTGAAAGTGGCAATTTAAAAAATAAAATCGGATTTAGTGCAGTTTGCAACCAAACCATGGATTTAGTGGAATATGAAACTGTCTAATATGGATTTAGTGGATTTTGACGTAGACTGAATTTTATTTTCAAGATTTAATAATACTAGGTATGTAGGAAAAAAGTGTTACCTTTATTTTTAACAAAAAGTATTGGAACAAAATCAAAACAAAACATGTTTATGAAATGTTTCAGCAAAATAAACGGCACGCGTTAAACTGATTAGCACATTCGGAAAACTCAAGAGTTAATTTCGGCAAAGAAAAAAAGTTATGATCTATACTACAATCTAAACTAATACATCTGGAACTTCTTCCATTCTTTCACAAAGCTCAGTGTTTTCTGAACTACCTTGCTCAGCTTCTTCTCCTTCATCTCCGTCATTGGTTGCTCTGTTTCTACTAAATATTTTTCAAACACATTTTTATAATATCCTAAGCAAGTCAATCCCTTCCATGCGGTGCCATAATGTTTGGTCAAGAGCTTAGCTACATCTTATAGTTTTGCTTGTTTTGGCGGTATGCCACTACCTATTGGGAGCGGATTTAATGATTCGAGATTTTTTTTGGTTTGCATACGGTCTTGTAGACTCCTAAGTCTGACCGGTAACTTTGCTCACCTCTTACTGTGACTGTATTGTTTCTTCCTTTTTTCAACAGAAACCTTTTAACCATATTGAATTTAATATGCCATTGGGCGGGTGGTTTCATAACTTCCCTAGTTGCAGACTTCCAGTCAAAAACAGCTACATCCTTGCCTAACTCCACTACGCAACCATGTTCCTCAAAAATGTTGAAATATTCTTTGGGCTCTATGATTTGGTCCTGTCGCCTTATCTTCTTGTCAATGCCTGCGAAGACCCTATCTGGAGGTATAAATGAATGCCCAACAACTGGAAAGATCAGTTCGAGTTCTTCAACTGAAGAAGTACTTAACCATTTTAGGCACATACCTAACATAATTGTGTTTTTATTCTGACCTCCACATCCATTAGCCATGAGTCGTATTTTCCTTATGCCATTAATATTGCTATTATTCAGCGTATAAAACACTGCAGACGCAATCTCGTTAGCTCCTGTCGCATGTTGGTCCTCCGTCCAGGCAAATATTCGCACGTTTTCTGGTGTCAGCTTAGAATGTGAATCACCGGTTACAGTTGTGAAATTATAAAGATACAGTTGTCGACTATAATACACACTTTGGTCAGGTATTTTTGGAAGCGTGAGATTCTTTTGACAGTCAAAACTCATAGTCAATAAATCGTTTCGTTTTTCTCGCAACAGAGCGAAAAAGGCTTTAGCGCTGGCGCCTCAAATTCTGTGACCGGATTGGCTGAACTGGATTTAGGGGCGTTTGAAAATTAACATGGCCGGATTTAAGGGACTTTGCAACTGAGGTAGCTTTTTGATGCCATTTTTACTATAGATTTAGGGCGATTTGTCACTAAATAGGAATAGTGAACAGTAAGGAATGGTTTGAAGCATATCAAAGTGTATTTTACTCATTTTTGGTCTGAAGTGGATTTAGGGGGTTTTGATCCCAGAGGATTCATATATAATATAGGCGTACATTCGATAGGTTCTGAAGCACTCTATCACCTGACTTCCGTTGATCCACTACTAACTTTACACCCTGTATATGTATGCACGAGATCGATGAAAGATAAATATGTGGAGTATCCCAGGCTTAATAGATCCCCGGCAAAATGGTCACAGGAGGCCTCCTAGTAGGCCTACTAACTACTACTACTACCACTGCTCCTAATGTCATCTCTAATATCTCAATTCTACGTGCAAAATAAAGGAATAATTGTTGCTTGGCTTACCTCATATTTTAATGCTTGTTTAGACTCGTAGTTCTTCCTCGCTAAAGCAACCCGAACCCATTCTGGTTTATCCGATATTGCTATATGCAGCAGATACCGAATACCTAGAAGGATATGTTCTAGGAAAACGAAGGTTAGTAACAGTTCCACTTCGCTGAAATTAGAGGTCTTTTCCCTCAAACCTGGACTAAGGTACAGTATGCCGCAGTTCGTGAAGATTGAGATTGCTCCAAGGACTTCGAATGCTCTCTGAAAATACAGAAAACATACAGGTTGCTAACAAAGTATGACACTTTCAAGAACACCAATTACAGAAGTAAATTAAAGCCCTTGGAATCTGGAGAGAACCACAGATTCCTGTATATGTAAGAATCAATTCTTACCTGCCACGCCCCGATGTCTTTAACTCTTCTACACATCGGCCTCTGGAGTACTTTGCATAGTTTGAACGCATCAGCTCTGATCTCAAGGACATTATTGAGCAGTGCCCAGAATGCCGCTATTGGATACACTGAAGAAAACAGGAAGACATAGCCAAATTGAATGAAAAGCTCTAGGTAGTCATCGTAGGGGTCCTCGTATATTTCCATTTCACCTAGAAAAATTTTACGTGAATTTTGGATTCTTTATAGAAGATGTACTAACTATGATAGAAATTCAAGCACATTAAATCTTGAGCGCCGTAGACTGCTCCCTGGGGAATGCCCTCTGAGGGATTATCCCAAATTCTGACTACTATTGACGTCTAATGACAATGTTAACTTTATCTCTAGAGACAAAAATGATGAATCACAGAGAGATTTTCGCCCTTTTTTCATCCAGCAATGACCTGGGGAGCGACTTTTATATCAGTCTTCAGGAGTACAGCTCTTTGAAGGGCAAGAGAACCACCCCCTCATACTCTCAGTGATTCTGATGCCACGTTCTCAAGATTAGTTGTCCAATACTCCTGTTCTACAATTTTAGAATGAAGTAATTGCTGTAATATTATTAATTACCAAGTATTATAAAAAACTAACTAGATGATACAAAATATTAAAGAATTCATCCAGATCCCCTACTTGATCGAGCCACATAACATACGGTATATACGGCAAAATTATATCCAACTGATGACTTAACATTATTTCTTATATAGCATCTCCCATTATCACGAAATTTTAATATTGTCATAACATCAGATATAAATTACGCGTAAAAATGTTTCAAAACCAAACAAATCTGTAGTGAAACCATCTCACCTGTATTGGTATTGATAAACAAGCTTGGAAGAAACCACATTCATGGAATAATCTCGAATAATATACAATGAATACATATCATTCTTACACATAATTCGGTTTTTTCTTCTCTTTCTGTTCTATTTCTTTTTTATCTATTGCAATTCAACATACAAATAATCCATGCAACAAGCATTGTGCTTTAATAGATAAATTATATTTGTTTACTAATTTTTTGTAACTTTATCGAATAAATAAATATTACTGCTACTGTACTGTATCTATATTACCTTCCTTCAGTGCTTGTTTGATTCTGATGTCTTCGGGTTGAATAGTAGGTATATTAATTTTAGTCAGGATGTTGACTTCTTCGACAAACTTATCATTTTTGAACAGTTTTGGTTGTGATATGCTGGGCGATAGTTTGAGTTTTGACCTCTGTATCTGGAAAAAATAAACAAGTTCATGCCAAACTTGTCTCTTAGGATCGAAATGTTTTGTTCAGCGTCTAATCTCAGCAAGCACTATTCTTGTTTTGATTAAACTTTGTATATAACGGCAGTAATCAGCAAAATAAAAAAAATAACGGATGTGAATCCTGAATCCATACCTTTCTTGAGTAGTAATTCATGGCTACTGGTTGTATGATCTCTTGAAAGCTGCAGATTGCCTGGGACATGATCAGCATGTTTCGCAACTGGCTTCTGAGCATTTCCATATCGCGCAGGATGAAACCGATGTAGAAGAGGGAAAGGAAATTATTCACGAACTCAAATAGGACCAATTTGGTGACACGATGTCGATCATACTGAGATTGTGTTCTGTGGTTTTCTGGAACAAGACACATACTGTATAGCTTTTAAAAAGGTTTTCATAAAAATGTGTTATTTTCAAATATGGAGACCTAATGTTCAGACCCTAGCCTAACATCACCATCGGTTTATTGCGTCTTGATATAAAACTATAAGTAGAACCGTCTACAGATTATGGTAGATAAACTGGATTTCAGAATTATTTGCATCAATCTATACAGTGTTTATCAAATACCCGAACACGCCAAAAACTTGGATACAACGGATTTTCTGGATAAACGTGCTGAGAATAGTTTTAGGGTATTATAAAAGCAATATGCCGATGGCCTCAAATATGATCTACATAATGACCTCAGGTCATTTGAAGGTCAGATTTGTAAATTCAAAATCAACCACCATCTTTAATAGCAGATTAGTCTTGACCTCGAGATTTTTCATCAGAATTCATTTTCATACATGAGGTCAGGCGGTCGTGAGTGGTATAGTATAGATGTGAATGTTCAGTTGTCAGCACACGTCTGAACCACAATACGGAGAGACCTACAAATTTGTACACTAGCTAACTGAAACCCGAGAAAGGTTTTCAAAAAGTATGGATAGATCAAAATATCTCGAAAAATACGTTCGCTAGAGAAAAATCGTTTAAGACAAAGTTGTGAGCTTTTAAAATGTTCATTCATAGGTTATATTTATCATAACCTTGAATATGACTTTCAAGGTCATTTGAAGGCTGGGATTTTTTTTTAATTGTGCCTCATTTTGACACAGGAAATGTAAAGGCCGGGAAATTTTACGTTGAAGTGAAAAAATGTATAAAAATACGTTTCACAAAGGAGCATGATGTCTAATAATAATGTAAGATTTGAAACGATTCATCTAATTGTGGCCTTGAACGTGACCTTGACTAAGGCCTAGACCAAAGCTTATTTGCAAGGAAAGACAGTTTATTTGACACCGGAAATAAAAATGCAAGGAATTTTATGTTCAAGTTTAGATCTCAAACCTCAAATGCAAATTGCGGACAATTATAAATTCAAGTATACTAAGTGACATATAAATCCGAACACGCAGTTTACATGGTTTTATTTTAATAAAATTTTGTATAAGTACTTAATGAAGCATCATAAGTAAATGATAAAAATTTCAAAATGATTGCACTGCTTTAAAGCCCTTTGACCTTTAATAATGTGTGGATGCACCCTGATGTGCTACGCATTCTCCAACGCGCCTAGGCATGCTTCTGATCAGGTGGTCAATGTTCTCCTGTGGTATCTCATTCCAGGCAACCACCAACTCCTCTCGAAGTGCTTCTAGAGTCTGAGGAGGACGTTGCAAATTGAGCAATCTCCTACCCATCATATCCCATACGTACTCAATTGGGGATAAGTCGGGAGTTCTTGGTGGCCATGGTAACAATGTGACATCATTATGTTGAAAGAAGTCTATTGTGACTCTTGCAATATGTGGTCTGGCACTATCTTGTTGGAAAGTTGGATCTGCCAGGGTGTCAAGATAGGGTAATAGATGGGGTTCTAGAACATCGTGGATATAACGCTGCGCGTTCATGTTACCTCTGATGAAGATTAAAGGTGACCTGGAACCATAAGCTATAGCACCCCAAACCATAACTCCAACAGTGTGATGAACATGTCTTTCAACAAAAAACGAGACTCGTCACTAAAGACAATACTGCTCCATTCCTGATCCCAGAGTGGCCGTTGTCTGCACCACTCAAGGCGATTACGTCGGTGTTCTCGAGTTAAAGGGAGGACCCAGTGTGGCCGGTATGAAAACAAGCCAAAACTTCTCATTCGTCGGTAAACACTTCGCATGCCAATAGGTCTTCCGTGTTCTGCAAACCATTCATTTGCAATGGACCTGGTAGTGGACAAACGGTCCCTTAAGGCCAATAATCTTAGACCGCGATCTTCACGGTCTGTTGTTCTACGGCGGCGTCCAGTGCCCCTTGCTCTTTGCGTACGGCCTTCTCGAAGCCATGCCTGACAACACCTAACCACAGTGTCTACACTTCTTTGCATTCTAACTGCAATTGCCCGAAAAGAAAGTCCAGCTTCCCGAAGTCCCACTATACGGCCCCTATCAAACTCGCTAAGTTGACGAAATCGTACAGGTCTCTGTACTCTAGGCATCGTAACCGATCGTAAAGGATGTCAAGAACCAAAATCCGCCAACGTTGATTATTTACTGCGGCTGAAATATTCATTTTTAGAGCGTTAGTGAATTAAAAAAAAGCAGTATAAAAACCGGAAAGTCCAACTGATAAGGCTGAAAGTTTTTCACTTGTTATTTACAGTAAGATAAATACATTCACCAACTTTTATTAAAATAAAACCATTTAAACTGGGTGTTCGGATTTATATGTCACTTAGTATATATCCTCAGCAAAACTGCTGGCACGCAACAATTATAAAACGATTTCTTGTTACTCTGCATATAGATGTTCATGAACAGAGGCCTAAATACCAATGAAAATCTGGTATCAAGCTTCTTGCTATTTTCGGTCAGGGCGAACAGAAGCTAAGCTATTGTCGAAAAATCTTAGACAAAACGACGTGACGGTAATAGCTGCACACCTCTACAAAGATTCGAACCTCATGGTACCATGGCACCCTCTATTTTCTCACGGTTTCTATCTTGTCAGGATCGAGCCGAATACCATCCGTGATCAACGAGATACTTCAATTCTATTAGAATTCAAATTGAGTCTAGTTTCCTTAGATAGTTGAAAAACTTGTTAGACTCAAAATACTGTTCAAAGTTCTTCCCAAAACAATGACACCATCTAGGTACATTATCTTCCAGGATAATCCATATAAGACAACATTAATAAATCTTCTGAAATTACTTGGATTATTGCATAAACCTAAAGGTGTAACCATTAAACGCCAAAGTCCAGCATATGATGTAAAGGCAGTTTTCTGTTTATTTTTTTCGTCCATTTCAACCTGCCAAAGTCCTCTTTCCAACATCCAATAGGCTTCAAAATGTCATCGATTCTTGGTAGCTGGTAGGACCCCTTATTGGTCAAGCCACTCAGTCGTCTGCAATCCTGTAATGTAGTGTAACTACTTTCACTTTCAACGCCACTGGTGAAGGCAGTATTGCAATCGCGGAAAAATTCAAAAATGAGATATTACGTTTTTTGGATGTTATATGACATAAACATTACGAAAAACCATGTCACTTATTTCCGTCAATCTGTCTGACAGTGTGTCCGCCAATCCTCTGTTTAAGAAAATCGGTCCAGTCGCGAAGGACAGAAAGGACAAAAACAAAAAAAAAACTATTTTTTTGATGTTTCTGAGGATTCTGATCACTCTTGAAGAAATCGGAGGAATTAGGGCGTGACGGAGGACATATCCCAATTTTGTTGAAGTTAGTATGTTTGTACGTTCCCAAGTCGGTAATTATACACCCCTGTTAAACATATTGTACACATCATAGAGTTCTCCTTAATACTCGGATTGACAGAGAAATGCTTTCGGTACGCATCCCGGCTTCTGCTGTCTAGGATCACCGGCGAGCGTGTAAAATGCAGGGTCAACCTACTTGAAGCCATTTTTCATGACGAGAACTATTAGCGAGGCCCAAATGCTAGACTATGGCTCGATGGCTTTTCGCTGATTCAAGTCTTCTACGAGACTTTGTGCCTCCTCGATCCGAGAATCCAACTTTCATGTTATGGATAACCGACTGAGTGCGTCCTTGGTTATCTCCATTGTTATCAAAATTACTTGTAACTCTTTCAGGAGCTTTAGTAGTCTATATAGTGGCGTCCCTTTCATAATCTGTATGGGAAGTTGGGATGCATTGATGGCTCCAATTGACATGTTTGAAAAACGGGTTACTATCCTAGCCAGCAAAGGGGCATTTTGACAATTTGGTTGTTTTGGCATCAGATGTTAGATTTATCCGCTATGTTCATTTCTAGCGGGTCTATGGACAAATATACTATTTTCAGAAACAAAATGATAATTCACACGACTCAAAAAGACTATGGACTACTGTTAATGATATTTTCAATGGAAAGTAACGATCTGGAAATGAAATTACTCAATTGAAAACGGAAACGGGTGAAGCAGTAAATGAAAGTAAACGAATATGCGAGGAATTTGTAATTGTTTTTACAAATGTCGGAGAAAAATTAGCAAATAACTACTTGGAAAAAGATTAGTAGATAAACTCATTTGTTCTGGCCGAAGTCGATGTTCAAGTTTTTAACACTATTATGTCCATGAAAAATAAGAAAATTCCAGGATCTGATGAAATAAGAGCTAAAATCTAAAGATGGTGGCCTAATAAAATCTGCAAACGAAAAAGAAAGACTGTATAAAATCATGAAATATTTACCCACGAAAGAAAATATAGATCATTATAATCAGTATAAAAACAAATTTATAGAACTTTTGAGAAAAGGAAAAAAAAATTACTATATAAAACAATTGAATAATAATTCACATGACTCTAGACACCTATGGTCCACTGTCAATGATATATTCAATAAGTCATCGTATTCAAAAAACAATATTAATGAAATAAAAACAAAAACAGGACAGAAAACAGACAATATTCAGCAAATATGTGATGAGTTCCTAGAATTTTTCACGAATATAGGAGGAAACTTATACAAATAATATCAAAGAAAATGCTGATATTCATCTGCATGAAACAAGACTGAATAATTCATTTGTATTAACTGAAGTAGACTATCAGGATGTTTTCAATGCCATTATGACTCAAAAAAATAAAAAAGCCCTGGAGTTGACGAAATTAGAGCTGAACATCTAAAGATACTGGCCAAACAAATAACAGAACCACTTGCTTATATCATTAACAAATCCTTCCAATCTGGAGTATTTCTATCAGCTTTCAAGACAGCAATCATCATACCTATCTATAAATCTAATGATAATACGGACGTCACTAACCATCGACCTATTTCACTTATATCAAGTTTAGCTAAAGTTATTGAGAAATTACTCCTTAATAAAATGATTAATTTTCTTAATAAATTCAAAATTCTAAATTCAAATCAATATGGTTTTATAGCGGGCAAATCTACAACAGATGGGGTATTAAGTATAGTAGATGAAATAACCCAAAATATAGATGGAAAAGTACCATCGATATGCGTATTTGTGGACTTACAAAAAGCGTTTGACACAGTTAACCACAATATACTTTTGGAAATCTTAGAAAGAATAGGTTTTCGTGGAAAGATGTATACTTTAATAGAAAATTATTTATCAAATAGACCGCAATCAGTAAAATTATTAAACTCGTATAGTAAAGAAATGTTTGTTAAATGTGGTGTTCCACAAGGTACAATTTTGGGTCCTCTGTTATTCAATATTTATTTAAACGATATATTCAAAATTAACAGTACTGGTAAAATAGTCAGTTTTGCAGACGATACTGCTATACTCTATAAAGGTAAGGATTGGAACGACTTAAAAGATATTATCCAAAATGACTTTTGCAAAATTATTCAGTGGTTTAATAACCGAAAATTAACAATTAACTTTACTAAAACTCATTTTTTACCATTTTCATCACTATCTAATCATCTACCAAAATATAACCACCTTCGGTTTAAGGTAAATGATGAAAATATAAAAATCAATAGAGTTAATGATACAAAATATTTAGGAATTTATCTAGATCCCCACTTGAGATGGGATGTACATATCTCACACATACTAAAGAAAATTAGATTCATAGCATATAAAATAAAATTTCTAACCGGTATATTAACTGAATATTATCTACGAATAATATATCAAGCTTTAGTCGAGCCACACATAACATATGGTATAGTAGTGTGGGGTGCTGCATGCACGACATACTTTAACTATTAAGAATTTTAAAATCAATGATAGGCAAATCAAAATTATACCCAACTAATGACTTATATAATGATGCACAAATATATGATACTAAACAACTTTACTTCTTACATACCATCACTCATTATCACAAAACTATTAGTGAACACGACATAATTAAACATAATCATAAAACCAGATATAAATTACGCGCAAAAAATGTTCGTAAACCAAACAAATCCCTAATGAAACGATGTCACCTGTATATAGCTCCAAAATTGTACGAACATTTACCAAATAATTTAAAACAATTACGCAATACATTAGGCTTCAAAAAAATTTAAAAAAATTTATTAACACGATTGGGAGAAATCAAATTAATAAAATAATCTCAAATATTACACAATAAATGCTCTACCATTCTTACCAATAATTTCTTTTTTCTCTCTATTTTATTATATTTTGCAATTCAACATACATATGATCCATGCACAGGCGTTGTCCTCCTATGGATATATTATATTTATTTACTCGTTTCATGTTCCCTGTATTTTAGAGTGAATAAATATTATTATTATTATTATTATTATAAGAAAATATCAGAACCTTCTGCTTATGTTATAAACAGAGATTTTCGGACTGGAATATTTCCCTCAGCTTTAAAATCAGCTGTTATCATGCCTATCTACAAAACAGGAAATAGTATGTACGTTACCAATTATCGACCTATAACACTCGTATCGACTTTGGCTAAGGAAAAATTACTCTCTAGTAAGATGATAAATCTCCTTGATCAATTCAAAATTCTAAGTCCAAATCCATACAGTTAATCACAGCTTATTGTTAAATATTTTAGACAAATTAGGTTTTCGTGGAAAAATATATTCTTTAAGGCAAAGTTATTTATCAAAGATGACTAAATAAATGTCTACTACTACTCATTAAGAAGGCAAGATAGGTAAACCGGAAGATGACATACATAAACAGCAATCCAAATGGTGGTGGAAGACTGGAGAAGAAGTATAGGTGAGAAAGAATATATTGTAACAGTATTTTTAGACTTCAAAAGGGCATTCGAGAATATAGATAGGGGAAAATTGTTAATAAAATTGCGTCACTATGGATTTAAAGGATCAGTATTACACATTTTACAAAACTATTTAGTAAATAGAAGTCAAAAAACTAAAGTTGGAAATATTACGTCAAGTGTCCAAAATATATTAGTAGGGCAGATTATTTATATAAATGATATCTCTGACATTTTAGAACACTGCAAAATTCAAATATTTGCGGCCGATACACTTATACAAGTATATGTATATAGCACATACGCATTTGGACACTGCTTTAGAACTGTTAAATAGTGGTATTCAAAAAATTATGAATTGGTTAAGTGTTAATAAATTTAAATTAAACATTAATAAAGCAAAATGTATGTCAATAGGGAAACATTTAGGTGACAATACAATTATCTTCATGATTAATGATGAAAAAATTGAAGTAGTCGAGTCATTTAAATATCTTGGTGTATACACCTTAGGAAAAACCATTGTTATACATGGGAAATCATTTCTTGACAACAGCGAATGGGCTCGTCTACTTTCATCGCTATTCGTACATATTTCCTAACGTTAACGCGCGTGCCGTCGTCAAGTGCGATAAGGGATTCATGACTCACTCTGCGGTTGGGTTTTGTGTAGGTGCGTCTTTATTTAATCCAAAATATCTTAAAAATGTACTTGCAAGAAGAAAAGTTTCAAATGATAGAATGGTACATCCAGAATAATTCAGCACGCGCGGTTGTTGAATTATTTGCGGTACGCTTCCCAGATCGGCCAATTCCGTCTCACGCAACGGTTATAAATACCTACGAAAAATTCAAGAGGGTGGGCTGCTTACATAAGTGCCATAGCTGCATGCACCCTGAAGGTTGGTAACCAAAAATTAGCGAGAAAAGGGAGGAGATCGAAACTGCTGTTTGTGCCGCTGCAGAAGTATCTGAGCCATGCTCAAGCAGAAAAATTGCTGAAATGGTACCAATAGCCGATCTCACACCCAGAACAACAAAAAATATTTTGCATCGCAACGGCTATCATAGCTTCAAGGTTGGAACGGTTCAAGAAATATTTCCTTTAGACAAATACCGTCGAATGGAGTTTTGTGAAACGGTCATGGAGAAGGCGAACAGGGATGGAAGTTTTATTGGTAACATTTTGTTTACTGATGAATCCACATTCCCTCTCCACGGTCATCACAATCCTTCAGTCGTTCGGTATTGGTCTCGGGAAAATAAACACCTCAGTATTCCCGTC